CCCCAAAACCCCAAAACCCCAAAACCCCAAAACCCCTTCGAGTAAATCGATAACTTTAATTAAATTTTATTAATAATTCAATTAATTGAAGGTTTACATTTATTAATATTCTATTTAGAATAGGATTTTTTAATGTCAAGATAAAAATCAATAAAGAATGAAGTCACTGCTGAAATAAACAGCAGAATACTCAAGAATTAAGTTCCTTCAGCATATGTACCTTCTCATCTTAAGAAATATTAACATTATATTGTTCAGAGCAAGGCTAAAGCACCATCTAATTATTAGTAAGCATCGTAAAATGTATCAGTATATACTATCCTCAAAGCTCCTTAGTTTGAGAGAAGTAACATTAGTAATTGACTAAAAAACCAAAAGAATATGAAGTCAAATAACTAATCAATAATTGAACTAATCAACCAAAGCTAAAACGACATCAAGAATAGATCTTAGTCATTAGGATATTAAGCCAATAAAAACAATAACGTATTTCCTTCGATTAAAAATTGCATTATGGAGTATGAGAAAAAAATAAAAGATCTTTAAATATCGAATGTAGGAATCCAAGTAAAACACGATAATATTATAAGTGGATTTACAACTAATTAACTAGATTAGGTTTTAAGTATTCCTACTCCTCCTACAAAACAAGACCAAAGCCTAGATGAAAATGACGATATTGATTTGGGTGATCTTGAAAATTTGTAAATTGTAGAGCCCTAAAGTTTTTAGAATCAATAAATAGATAGCTAGAATGAGGAGGATGAGGAGGCAGAAGATGCTGTGGATGATTAGTAACTTATAAGAGATGAGAGTGTTTAAAATATTAAGCAATCTACACGGAATATACTTAATACAAAGAATTCATCGACCATTTAGTATTCATCGAGTAGATTAGACAAAAAATAGATATAATTAAGAAACCGAATACAATCTTCAGATGGTAATTCCTTACGTCAGAGTAGATTGTAAAGATCCATTTATGAAGGTTAAACAGGCAAAAATATTTAGCAGTCAGTTCTAAAAAATGTGACTTCTTCTTAAGTATCATTTTAAAAATCTTTTCGACCAACTAGACAATCCAAAACAAGTTTGGGTGTTAAGCTTCCTCTTATTTAAAACTAAGAATCTAAAGGATCTTAATTCTTAATTGAAACACCTGATAGGTCTGCAAACTAGTAAGGCTTAACTTCTGCAAATAATGCAAATCTTCAATCTAGAGAAAACTTAATTGAAGATGATTATGTACCGACTTTATACATTTTACCCTAGGTATCTTGTAAAACTTATTGCATTTTAGATGCACTTAAGGGCAAAGTTTTGTATTTTAAAGGGGATCATGAAGTAAGAGAAATAGCCTCACTCACAAAGATTATGACTGCGATCGTTTCTCTTTAACTAGCAAAGGAAATGAATATTGACATAACAAATACGTATTTTACTGTGAGTGCTAATGCTTCAACTACTCCAGGAACGACAGCGTATCTCAAAATGGGATAAAGATTGAGAGTTATAGATCTCCTTCATGGTATGATGCTACCTTCAGGAAATGATGCTGCAGTTACTCTAGCTGAGAATTTCGGAGAGAGATTAATGAATTTCAGAGCATTAAGAAGCCCGAAAAAAAACTTTAAAGAATATAACTTTTAGTAAAGTCCAGAAAAGCTAAGAGATTCCAGAATGGAACTTTAAATAGAAATTCTTAATACCTAAAATCCTATTAAAGTTTTTGTAAAAGAAATGAATAAATGTGCTCGATAATTTCACTTAAGATCAACAAAATTCTCAAATCCTCATGGATTAGCAGATAAAGGCAATAGATCAACAGCTTAAGACATCGCATATTTAGCCTACCATTCTCTTAAAGATAATGTATTTTCCTAAATTGTAAATCAACAGAAATACGAATGTATGACCTTTATAAAGAAACCAGTTACAAATTAAATTAAAGAATAACCCAAAGCTGATTTAGCTATTAATCTTGATAGTGAATAACCTTACAAAATGACCTGGTTCAACTCTAACAAATTACTTGGTGTGAAAGGCTTTAAAGGAGTAAAAACAGGAATCACTCAGACAGCTGGCCCCTGTTTGTGCATCCTCTATGATAATGAATAGTATAACCATAAACTTATTACAGTTGTTTTGGGATGTAAAAATGTTGACTATAGATGGCGGGATGCTAAAAGACTAACTATTTGGGCAGACAATATGATTATCGATTAGAAAATGAATTCTAAAAATTCCATGAAAAACATTCCAATCTTTACCTCTCAACAATAATCAACCCAACAATATTGATTAAACAGATCGTGTTTTATAAAATAAATCTATGTAAGTTAAGTAAGATTAATAGTATGCATAAATTAAATTTAATCATCACTACAGTTTATTAAGTAAAAGGGGTTTTGGGGTTTTGGGGTTTTGGGG